AAAAAAAAAAAAAAAAAAAAAAAGAATGCTGAAGAGGCAGGTCTGGTGGATTGAGGGCGATGGTTGGTAGGTGGGGTTCTGATATCTGGGGCCCACTTCAGGGGGAAGATGCTTATTTYCATGTGATAGGTAGGTGTACAGCTCACTATCATCAGTTTCATGAGCTCCCCCAACTTCAACTTCATGAGGGACACAGGACCCCGCGGTTCCCAGCATGCGCTGTTTTACCTAGTACCCAATGAATGATGTATCTCAGGGGACACTGGACCCACTTTCCAGCAGGTGATAGCTCCCCACCGATAAATTGGAGCCCCCTGCAAGACAGGTACGCGTGCATGCTCATATCATCACTCCTATCTCTTGACACAGGATTTATTTTTTTTTTATTTTTTTATTTTTACCACTAGTACCTTTCCCGCGTGGGAAAATAGGCAAAACTGGCAGTTTTCCCAAACTCCTGATTTTTCGAAGGTCGGGCCCGACGACGACTGCCATTGATAAATCTGATCGGCGGCCATCATTTCGTTTCGGCATCTGAAAAGGTCGGACGCCTACCCAAGGMCCGCTATTTTCCCAAGCGGCAAAGGTACTAGGGGTTTAAGGTGTTCTTCAACACCTGAGGCAAGGGGAGGGAACACTGGAATCACTCCTTGGCTGCTGGGTCCCAGACCTCCACCTTAGAACTACTAGAGGAACAGTCATAACATTATGAGAAAAGGGGGGATGTAGTTTCCCTTCTTTTTTTTTTTGGATAAACCCCCACACGCACTGCCCCTGGTGCCCCATCTATTCTGGGGAGCGTCAGTCCTTTTGCTCATCACCGCCAAGCAACTTCAGACTCACATAGTTTTCATAGCACCGCATTGGGAGTGTGTAACTCAGGACGGAGACTGGATAGCCATCATCGCCCTGTAACCCGTGGCAATGTGGGASCGTCAGGCCAGGTGGAAGTGGCTGCTCAKGTCCTGCTTCGCCCGGCCGGGACACACCCAATAAAAGAATCCTCATGTTGAATTCTCCGTCGGAATCATCACAGCTAACATTCATGGCTTTATTACAATGGCTATCAGGGTTGTTGAGAACTTGAGACCCTCAATTTCACGGTACTTTTT